GTGCATCATGGGTTTGTCTGGCTACAACTGCATCTGCTACCCGGGCTACCGCTGGCACACCCAGCGCAGGTTCTGCACAGGTAACACGCCCTCCATTGGGGGCATGTGACACACGTAGAGACGCACATGTGCATGGCTATCCATGGGCACATCACACCCACACCACAGTGTTCGGGGGGGGGAGTGACTTCTGGCCATGCCTGAATACACAGATCTGTGACAATCCCCCAGCCTGTAAGCAAGGGTGTGACACACAAGTGTCAGTGCAAGAGGTGCGTGACATGTCCACACATGTGTGTATGCAAATACAGCAATACAAAAAAAATGTGTAACACACCTGCACAGGTGCATAACAGGTGTGTGATATGCCTGCACATCAGCCTATGGAAGTGTGAGATACGCACTTGGCTTGTACATGCTGGTAACTAGGCCTGCAATGCATGCACGACTACACATGCAGCCTGTGATCCCCTGACATCTGTGTGTGGCCGGGGTGTGACAGGTCTGTATCCGGCATGGCAGGGATCAGTAATTCTTTCTCCCTCTGCCCGCTGCAGATGTGAACGAGTGTGAGGCGGAGCCTTGCGGCATTGGCAAAGGCGTCTGCATGAACACAGGCGGCTCCTACAACTGCCACTGCAACCGGGGGTACCAGCTGAAGGTGCACAAGGGCGTGCGCTCCTGCGTGGGTGAGCACCCTGGAGGCAGGGGCTGGGGGGACAGCAGTGTTGGGGGAGAGGCTTCTGGGAGCTGGGGGAAATGGGACCGGAGGATGGGCTGGGAGCTGGGGATGCACTGTGGGGTAGACTGAGGCTGGGGAAGCATGTTGGGGATGGGCTTGGGAGAAGGGTTGACCAGTACAGTCCCAACCCCCCTCCCCTGCCTTGTTCACATCCATCTGTCTGGCAGACATCGACGAGTGCTCCAAGCCCCACATCTGTGGGGATGGGGGGACTTGTGCCAACTACCCTGGGCACTACAAGTGTGAATGCTATCCTGGCTACCGTCTCAAGCCTTCTCGCCAGCCCCTATGCGAAGGTAAGGCCTTCCTTGGTTGGGGTGGAGAGGGAGGGGAGATTCTCAACAGATTGGGAGACACATACCCTACAGTAACAAACCAACAGCCCTGAGACACCCTGTCACAACAAATGGGTGTGCACAGCCCAAGCAGTAATGAAAGGCACTGCTTTCCAAAGATCCTACAAGGTCAAGCAGGTGCACATAGCCCGAGTTACTGAGAGAGACCCTACGATAACAAACCAGTGTCCCAAGAGACCCTACAATGACAAACCAATGTCCAGGCCCAGAGTTTGCACAAGACCTTAGAACTAGAGATGTGACTCGGTATCTGGGATCTGCCCATAGCCCCTCTGCAGTCCCGTGTAAGGGGTGGGGTGGGAGTGGGATTCTGCTTAATTGGTTAACCAGTTAAACTTAAGGTTTAACTGATTAACTGGGATTTGCATCCCTACTCAGAACGCAAAGATCCTACCTCTCGCAACCCTTCCCGTACAAACCTGTCGATGCAGCTGTCAGCGCCCCTTGTGTAATAAACCAGCTCCTCACTTTCCAGAGGGCTTGCTGGGTCCTTCCCTGCGCTGTGCTCTGTGCCTTGGGTGGCTCCTCCAAAGGCCCCTCACCTTTTCTCTCTCCCCCAGACATTGATGAGTGCATGGACACCGGCACCTGCCCTGACGGGAAGTGTGAGAACCAGCTAGGCACCTACAAGTGCAGCCCCTGCCCGCCAGGCTTCCGGGGCCAGAATGGGATTTGCTATGGTAAGAGCTGGGCGTAGAACCAGCAGTCCTGACTCCCAGCCTCTTGCTCAGCCTTCTAGCCCCACCGACTCCCAGACCAGGGATTGAACCAGAAGAGCTGGCTCCCAGCACCCATTCTAACCCAGTCGACTCCCCCCCCAGTGCTGTTGGTGCAGGATCTGGGGGTGACTCCTGTCCTTGTTGTGGGACAGGCCCTCTGCACCCCAAGTGGCAAACTGGACTGCAGACCAGGGTGCTGAAGGTCAAAGTTCAAAGGTTGTGTTGCGACAGGGGTGGGGCTCAGTGTCTGTGTCCCCTCAGATGTGGATGAGTGTGCTGAGGAGACCCTGTGCAAACACGGCTGGTGCGAGAACCTGCCTGGCTCCTTCCGCTGCACCTGCGGGGAGGGATTTACACCTGCAGCCAACGCCCGCAGCTGCCTGGGTAACTAGATCCCCTCCCGCCCCGAGTGCCCTGCTCTATCTACTGCCCCCCCAACCCTTCCCTCTACCCACTGCCCCCTGCCCTACCCACTGTCCCCTACCCCCATGAGTCTCGACTATCCACTGCCTCGCCAAGCTCCCCTTCCACTGCCCCCGTCCCACCTAAGGATGTAAGCAATTAGTCAACTACCTGATAAACCTAGGCTTATCAGGTAGTCGAATCATTACTCAACTAGTCGCTTCCCCCGCCCTTGCTGCCTTAAGATCCGTTCCCCCCAGCACTGTCTTGGTGGGGTGGGGTGGGGAGAGGTGAGGCATGTACGCAGCAGGGGAAATGGCACAAGTGGGGACCAAAGCAGTGGGGCACAAGTGGGGACCCCTTCTTGCATGGGGTCCAGACTGCTGTGCCTCTCCCTTTGAAATGTACAAGAGCTGCTCTTGTTCATTTCAAAGGTAGAGGCGCAGCAGGATAGTGAGTGCCCCCCCATCGACTAATTGAAATTTAACACCCCCTAGTGCTACTGAGCCCCTCGTTCTACTCATTGCACCCCCTGCCCTTTCTGAGCTCCCCAACTCTACCCACTGTGCCCCTCCCCCATCCCAAAACTGCTCTTGCCCTGCAGATGTGAATGAGTGTGAGGATGGGGGGCTTTGCCCCAACGGAGTCTGTGTCAACACACTGGGCTCCTTTAAGTGCCAGTGTCCCCCGGGCTTCCACTCAGTGAAGGACCGGCCACGCTGCGAAGGTGAGTGAGCTGCGCTGCGGGGTGGAGGGGCTGGGCTGGGCAGCCATGTAGGGGGTGGTGATGGAGTTGGACTGGGTGGCCATGTCTGTGGGGTCTAGGCAAGGGAGCTGTGCTGGGTGGCCATTTTAGAGGGTAGGTAAGGGGGCCAGGCTGGATGGCCAGGTCTAAAGGGTAGATAAGGGGGCCAGGCTGGATGGCCATATCTGGGAAGGCTAGGTAAGGGGGCCAGGCTGGGTGGCCATGTCTAAAGGGTAGGTAAGGGGGCCAGGCTGGATGGCCAGGTCTAAAGGGTAGATAAGGGGGCCAGGCTGGATGGCCATATCTGGGAAGGCTAGGTAAGGGGGCCAGGCTGGGTGGCCATGTCTAAAGGGTAGGTAAGGGGGCCGGGCTGGGTGGCCATGTCTGGCGGAGGCTGCGGTGAGGAGGCCCAGGCTGGGCTGCCTTGTGGAGTGGGGGATGGGAATGGCTCTCAGCCTGTGACTCTCCATGTTGCAGACATTAATGAGTGTGACTTCCCGGCTGCCTGCATTGGGGGCGAGTGTGTCAATTCTGTGGGCTCCTACCGCTGCCTGTGCCATGCCGGGTACAAGCTGGTGAACGGCAGGAAGTGCCAAGGTGAGGTGAGGGTGTGACACAGACAAGAGTGAGCACCAGGTGTGTGTGGGCATGGCTCGCCAGGTGTCTGGCATTCCACACTGGTGTGAGCAGCTATGTGCAGTGACATGAGGACATGGCACACGGGGGGGAGGTGGGAAAGTCTAGGGGTGGGAGGTATGAAGGCACAAGAAATGCTATGCCATGCGCCCAAGTGTGAACCTGGAACACTGCAAACTGGGCCTGCTGGGTATGAGCGCGGACACTGGGGTGTGTGGGAGGGACAGAATGTGCAGGCCAAGCAGTGCAGTGCAAGGGCCGTGCGGGGTGTCTACATGAGTGTGACATCCTGGCAAAGAATGGGTACAAGCCCGTGTGTGTGTAACGGTGTGAGTGTGAGTTTGTGGACTGTGAACTGCCACATATTGCGCACAAGTGTGTGCCTTTGATGAGTGTGTATCTGTGAGTGAGCATAGGTGGGTTTGAAACATCTGGGCTGTGGGTGAATGGTACAAAGAGGTGTGACCATCTGTGTTTGTGCATAACTGGTTGTGACACAAGGGATGTGTGCTGCAGCAGTGGGTGTGAGCCTATGCATGTGGGATGTCCGAGGCACACTACAGGCTCTGGGGATGTTGCATGAATGAGTCCGACTCCATGATTGGTGTGACGCTACAGGATATGTGCATGTTGCACAAATGGGTATATCTATGTGTGTGCGCACAAGAGGGTGTGGCACATCTGGGCACACTTGTGCATTATGCCACAAGTGTGCCATTGCACACCCCCTGCCTCTATCTCCCACCGGCCTCTGCCCAGACATCGATGAATGTGCTCTGGACCCCAGCTTGTGCCTGCCCCATGGGGCATGTGAGAACGTGGATGGCTCCTACGTGTGCGTGTGCAATGAGGGATACTCCCCATCTGAGGACCAGCACAGCTGTGAGGGTGAGTGGGACCTGGGGGGCATTCCCCTCAGCGGGGTGCCAGCTCTGATCTGGCCCCACGGTGGGGGGGGGGGAATAGAATGCAGGGTCTGTCTCCTCTAGGGTGCGCCAGCCCCCATCTGGCCCCAGGGCAGCGGAGACTATCTGGCATGGGACAGTGGGGGTTGGGTCTGGACTTGGGGCCTTTCCCCTCTAGGGGTGCTGACTCTGATCTGGTACCAAGGTGGGGCATTGTGGGGCTGACTTACCCTCTGCTCCCAGATGTGGAGCCCCCCGATAACAAGAAGGAATGCTACCTGAACTTCGATGACACCGTCTTCTGTGATAGTGTCCTGGCCACCAACATCACCCGCCAGGAGTGCTGCTGCTCAGTGGGTGCTGGCTGGGGAGACCACTGCGAGATCTACCCCTGTCCCGTACCCAACTCAGGTAGGGATGGACGCTTGCTACCTCTTCTTCATTCTGCACTCCCCCATCCCCTCCACCACCATGCACCTGTGGAACTACCAGCTATATGGTGTGACCGCCTAGTGTGGGACCTAGGAGCACAGAGGATGCAGTATTACCCCCAGGATTTACACAGGTTTCTGCTGCTGGTCCCTTCCTTGCCCCTGCTGTGGCCTCAGCCTTAGCCTCCTTACCCTGCCTGGGTCCCTTCCTCCTGGAGACACAGCCTTGGTCCTGGCCCCAGCTCGGGGTGGGGGATGTGGACAGGGGCCAGGGTGTTGGCTTTCAATACCCCCACTATGAAAAATGTTCTAGCGCCACTGTGTGGCTGAAAATCCAACCCCCAGGCTCCAGGGCAATGACTAGAATCCAACTGTGGGGAGGGAGAAGGGGTTAGGAAGACATTAACCCTCCCCCACTCCCATCCCAAGCAGGGAACGGGAGGACACCAGGCTGGATAGACCCAATTGTCTGATCTGTAGGGCAGGGGGGATCCCAGGCAAGATGGTCCAAGGGTCTGATCTGTGGAGCAAAGAGAGGGGATATCTTGTCTAGACATTAATCCCTCTTCACCCCTTTTGGGGGTTGCATCCCCCATCTCTCCCTTGTAGCCGAGTTCCACTCTCTCTGCCCTGATGGGAAAGGATTCATTCTGGACGACAATATACTGAACTATGGCATCCCTGCCCACCGAGGTGAGCACTAGAGTCTGCACTCCGATATGGCCAGGGCCTGCACTTGAGCACTGCGGGATCAGGAGCCAAAGCTACCTCTCCCCCTGCTCCTTACCAGTGAGTCAGGGGGATTCCAACCTTGCAACCCTCATATCTGGCCACTGAAGCCCCCCATGCTGCACCCCAGTCGTGGCTGCATCTTAATGCCAGATGAGGGACTCCCATTCCTTGTACAAACAGCCCCCATGCCCCACCCCAGGGGTGGCTGCATCTCCAAGTGATCTCTTATAACCAGCCTCCGCTCCCTGTCCCGGGGCTCGTTGCAGACATCGATGAATGCAGCCTGTTCAGGGAGGAGATCTGCAAGGAGGGGAAGTGCGTGAACACACAGCCGGGCTACGAGTGCTACTGCAAACAAGGCTTCTACTACGATGGCAACCTGCTCGAGTGTGTGGGTGAGGAGGGCAAGCAGCATTGGCTGGTCTAGAGACTGGGCGGATAGATAGGGATGCCCCTCTGGGGTCTCTGCTGTGATCTGCCCTTGGCAGAGGACTGGGAGGCTCAGGGCGTGCAGAATGGGACACAAGCCCTTCTCCTCTAGGGGCCACTGCTGTGCTGTGGTCTTGGCAGGGATGACTGACTGTCTCGGGAGTGGAGAGTGGGACACAGGGCCTTCTCCTCTAGCGGGTGCTGCCTGTAATCAGGGTTGGGCCCGGTGGCCAGAAGTGGTTGGGCTCTGAACCATGTTCTTCTCCCCAGACGTAGATGAGTGCTTGGACGAATCGAACTGCGTGAATGGGCTGTGCGAGAACACACGGGGGGCCTATGTGTGCACCTGCCCCGCCCCTGCCGTCTACGACCCCATACACAAGAAGTGCCTGGCACCCAGTGAGATCGGTGAGTCCGCTTCACAAGTGACATGAGCTTACTGGGTCTCAGCCTTGGCTCTGGCTGGGTGGGCAGTCCCATCACAGCCCTACCTCCTCCCAGCCCCTTTGCAAGATGGAGGCTGAGAACTGAGCTGGTGGGGTGTGGACTCGCCAGCACTGGGTCTGGGAGGACAGAGGGCAAAGATGCCCCCTTGGTGTCACAATGACCAGTTTGTGGCCCCTGGTGCCAATGACAACCTACAGAGCCCCATGGTGACACCTGCTGGCCCCTGATGCCATGGCAACCCTATCAGGTGCAGTGTTACCATAGTGACCTTGGTGGCGCCATGGTGATTCCCTTCTAGCCCCCAATGCCATGGCAACTCTGTCAGGCCCATGATGCTGTATGACTGTGCATTGACTCTGTAGATGTGGATGAGTGCCGGGACCCTGGAGCCTGCCGGCACGGGCGTTGCATCAACACACTGGGCTCCTTCTACTGTGAGTGCAGCCTGCCCTGGATGCTGGATCCCAGTGGCAAGGAATGCCAGCTCCCCGACATGCAGGCAGGTGAGGGGCACAAGGGCTGTCACGTGGGTACAGGCCAGTATAGGTGGGAGGAGCTTAGGATTGTGAATGAGCAGGCAAGTGTGAATGAGCAACTGTGAATGTTAGTGAGCCATTGAGAGTGAGCAAGGGTAAGTGTGAGCCTATGAGTGTGAGCAAGGGTGACCGTGTATCCCTGATTGTAAGCTGGGGTGCATTTGAGCGTGTCGCTGATTGTGACCATGCTGTTTATGAAGATTGTGAATGTGCCCCTGCACCCACAGATAATGCACACTGTGGTGTGTGGTGATGTGGTCAGGGCCTGTCCAGCATGCCAGGCCCTGTGGGAGTGCCTGCTGTGGGCACTGGCTGGGATGGGACGTGGGCTCCCACTCTCTCTCTGTACCAGCAGACCGGGCGGCTGACCGGCGCGACATCTGCTGGCAGCACCGGGGGGAGGACAGCATGTGCGCCTCCCCACTTAATGGCTACCACCTGACCTACGAGGAGTGCTGCTGCCGCTACGGAAAAGGCTGGGGCTTCCAGTGCCGTGCATGCCCCCCACGCAGCCCAGGTAGCACCCATACCCAGCCTGTCCTCTTGGGGTGCTGGCTCCAGCCTAGCCTCAGGGTGGGGGCTCTAGCTGCCCCTAGGGGGCAGGAAAAGGGGAGGGGACCTTGACCCTTTAGACATGCTGGCTCCAGTCTGGCCCCAATGTAGGGGGACTTGCTAGCTCTGGGCGATGGAGAATGGGGATGGGGCATTTCCCCTCTAGGAACACTGACTCTGGTTACACTGGGCTGGATCTGATGGGATGTGATTCACTGCTATGTATCCCCAGGCTGGTTGTTGTGATTCTTTGCAGGGCAGCAGTGCCAGCCATCTCAGAGCGAGAGCAACTCCTTCTGGGACCTCAGTCCCTTGTTCCTGGGCAAGCCCCGCAAAGGTTAGTGAACCCTCTAACACAGCCCCCCCTGTGGATCCCAGAGCTGGCATCTCATTGCAGGCTTAAGGGTTCCTGTATGAACAGCATCCTGCACCCTAGAGTCAGATGCATCTCTGTGCAGACAAGGGATCCCTCTTCCCCATGTCTCCCTCCCTCAGTTTCAGCTGCATGGGTATGGACTCCTTGCCATTCCCCTGGTCTCATCAGTGTCCTCCCATGTCCTCCCTGTATCCCATCTGCCTCTCAGAGGATGACACCTCAGAGGAGGATTCAGACGAATGTCACTGTCTGAATGGCCGCTGCATCCGGACCTACCATGGTGCAGTTTGCGAGTGCCCTGCCGGCTTCCAGCTAGATGCTACACGTACCCGTTGCCTAGGTAAGTCAATCAGCATGTACTTACCTGCTCTCAGTGGGTGAGGAGGAGGAGGAAGGACACTGCATGCCCTGGAAAGTGGAAAGGGATCTGCTGTCCACACCATCAGGACTATCTGGGACAGGAGTCTGGTCTAGTGGATTAGAGCAGTGATGAGGTTGGGAGCCAGGACTCCTGGGTTCTCTTCACCTTATACAAACAATGCTGCTGTCTTTCCCTGCCCACATTGGGGAATACAGGTTCAAGACCCACCCCCACACACTCCAGAGCCTTTCCATTAATGCCTACACTCTCTCTCCCCACCCACAGACATCGATGAGTGTCGGGAGCTGAACCAGCGAGGGCTGCTGTGCAAGAATGAGCGCTGCATCAACACCAATGGCTCGTACCGCTGTGCCTGCAAGCCAGGCTTCGCCCGCTCCCGCCACCACGGGGGCATGTGTATCCCCCAGCGTCGCCGATAGCCCTCTGTCACCTCCAGGGGTGCTGCCAGCTAATGCAAGAGAGACACTTCTTTGCTAATGGTTCACATCCTGTTTTGGGGGGAACTTAATATTTTTAATTGCTAAAAATGGGGCATTGTATTGGGTGTTCCTCCCTCTGCAAGACTTTTTTATTAGCATTACCTTAGGGCTGCGTTTATTTGCACTCATTTCTGTAGGAGACAAATATATAAAAACCAACAACCCTGTAAATAACAAAATGGAAGGTAATGGATTAATTAAATTGCAGGAGTAGATCCTGGGCAAGGTGTTTGTGTGCTGTGCTGTCCGCATTGGCAGGGCGGAAGGGGGTGGTAAACTGCAGCTGCTGTCTGGTGTGCTGGGGGTGCTGTGATACTGCAGGGAGAGGGGCTTGCAGTTGTGTGGGTGCTGTGACAAGGGAGGCTTGACAGAACTGCACTTTTGCAACCCTGCCCAGTCCTGTCCTCCTGGGAAAGCAGGGGCACAAATAGGCTGTAGCTTGCTCTGAGATCACCCAGTACATCCATGATGACATTAGATACCCTCCCTTACGCTGTACTTCCTGCCTCCCAAAGTGGGACACTGCTGCAGGGAAGCCCACAGTACCTGGGTCAACTTGGGCCAGGGCAGCTGGGGCAAGTGGATGACATCATTAAAAATCCCACAATGCTTTGGGCCTGAAGATTTAGAAAAAGTAAAAGCTCCAGAATCCCGCTGGTGCAAACAGCTCCTGGAATGCCCCAGCTGGGGTGAGCCATGCTGAGGAAGGGCTGTAGTTCCTGGGAAGACTACACGTTCCAGAATGCACTGCCCGGAGAACTACGACTCCCAGCATGCATCACGGCAGGTGTGTCCTTACAATTCGGGCGCCAATTTTCGTTTCCCATGAGGCGTTGGGGAGCTAGTTAACAGAACTACCAATCCCAACATGCCTTGGGGCATGCTGCTTTCCCTCCCCGGTATCAGACTATATTTCCAATAAGGCACCGGGGCTAGTTGTACATTATCACTCCCAGCATTCCTCGGGGAGATGGCGTGATTGGCTGGCCCGGCTTACTACAATTCCCATCGTGCCCTGCGGAACTGTGGCCCCCATGGTGCCTTGTGGCACTAGCATGGCTACTGTGTTTGTGCCGGGGAAGTGAAGCTGGTGGGGGAGGAGGGGCGGCTGCCTCTGGTAAGGGGGGGGCTGGGGGAGAGGGCCCCGAAAGCAAGTGTGAAAAATTGGGGCACTTTCTTCAGGGGGTGGGGTACAGGCGCTTGTGTGCGCCAATGCCCCTAATAACGGGACGGCTGGTCACCCTAGGTGTGGGGGTGGGAGTTCCTTCTCGGGCAGGTGGGGACAGAGACAGGTGGGGTGGGGGGTCTCTTGAGGGGAGAGAGACAGATGCGATGGGGGGGTTCCCTTTGGATGCAGGTGTGGACAAAGACAGATGGGGTGGGGAGGACCCCCCTTTGGGTGCAGGTGGGGACAGAGACATAGCTCCCAGACTTCAAGCTTCAGCTGTCTGAAGTGACATTGGAAGTGTCCCTCTTCCCCTGGCCCTCTCATCAGCCTCCCCTGATGCTCTTTACCTCTTCCCAGCTGCCCCGGGTGCCCACCATGGGGCTGAAGCCATGGCAAAAGGCCCTGTTCCCACTGCGCTCGGTGGAGGATGTGGTGCGGCTATTCGAGGCAGAGCTGCAGCAGGAACAGCCTGACCTGGTGCTGCTGTCGCTGGTGCTAGGCTTTGTGGAACATTTCCTGGCCGTAAACCGTGTCATACCTACCAATGTGCCAGGCATCAGCTTTGAGCCACGCCCGGGCCCTGAACCCGACAGCCTTACCTATTTCCCTGTGGCTGAGCTGTCCATTGTGGCAGCGCTTTATGCCCGCTTCACTGCCCAAATCCGTGGCGCTGTCGACTTGTCCCTCTACCCCCGGCCTGAGGGCTTCTCCTCTCGCGAACTGGTCAAGAAGGTGTCGGATGTTATCTGGAACAGCCTTAGCCGCTCCTACTTCAAAGACCGGGCCCACATCCAGTCCCTCTTCAGCTTCATCACAGGTAGGGGGCCCACTGGCATGGGGCTGGGGGCAGTATGGCTGGACTGGGGCATCCTGAAAGATCCCAGGTCTTTCTGTGGCCTGCAGCACAGCACCCCCTAGTGATGGGGCATTGGAGTTGGTACTGTGAAGACAGCACCCTCTCCTAAGCCCTGTTGTTTGTAGCATAGCGCCCTCTAGCACCGTGCTGGCATAGGGATCACCACTGACTTCAAGGGAAAGTGCACAGTGGCCCATTGGGATCAGCACTTTCAGAAGAGAGTACCCTCTACTGAGCCCCAAGCTGTTTCTTGCAACACAGCGCCCCTTAATGCGGTGTTTTCTTTGCAGGCACTAAGCTGGACAGCTCAGGGGTGGCTTTTGCTGTGGTGGGGGCCTGCCAGGTGCTGGGGCTGCCTGATGTGCACTTGGCGCTCTCGGAGGACCATGCCTGGGTGGTGTTTGGCCGGGATGGTGAGCAGACGGCCGAAGTGACCTGGCACGGCAAAGGCAACGAAGATCGGCGTGGACAGACTGTGAATGCTGGTGTGGCGGAGAGAGTAAGTGAGGGCAGGCTGTGAGCCTGTGAGGGGCTGGGGGGTTACAGTGAAATGTAGCTGCCGGGGGAGGTGAGGCTGTGGGGGGCTGTGAGATGTAGTGGGGAGCGTGCTGGGAGAATAGTCTTGGGGTCTGTGCAGAATTGGGGCTATCTATTTGGATCAGAAAACTGCTGTGCAAGTTCCCTTGTGCTTTAACCTTAGGAACTGGTGCAGCTGGTAACCTGTAACTGATCAGCATGAGATAAGGTCCCCCCCCATTAGGTGGGGTGCTGTTCAGACCCCAGCTGAGATTGGAGGCTTCTGTCTCATTCTGGGGTGTAATTCATCCCAGTGAGGGACAGTGTTGAAACAGAGCTCTGGATTAGATGTGAGTTAAAAACATTTTGAGTGACACAGAGATTGTGAATGAGTACAATATCGTCAGAAATGGCTACAAGGGAAACAAAGATAAAGCGCTTTCTAACAACTAAATGTAACAAGCTGGACTTAGTTCAAGGTAAAATTCTTACCACATGGTCCCAGCAATGGGGCTGCCCCAGGAATCTTGCAGAAAACCAGTTCTTTTGTCTTCTCGGGTATGAGAGAGAGCAAGCACTGGCGTGTGTGTGCCCCTCACTTTCCTAGTCCAGGCCCCCTTTGAAATACACTGTCCTGAGGTTATCCCTACACAGTTCCTTCCCACTGTGAGGATGCAGCCAAGAGGGTCTTGTGGTTAAAGAGGTTCCGTGTTGTTTACTAAAACTCAGAGTGCTTTGTTCTTGCCCCAAAGATCGGCACTTGGGTGGCGACTGACAGGAAGCTCTGGTCCCACCTGGCCTTAGAGGAACAGTGTCCCTCTCCCTCATCACATTTGTTGTAATTTATGCTTGTGTTCATTATTCTCCATATAGGGCTGCTCCACACATCTTGCCATGGTATTACTTAGGAGGCACCTTTTTCTTCTCCAGTGATACCTCACAAGGCACATTTGATACGATTATTACATTTGTGTGCAGAATGTAAATACGTTTGGTCACCAGCCCTCTTGGACCAACCACTGCTCATACCGAGATTGGCACTCACCTGCCTTGGACTAGGCATCGCTTGTACCCTGGCTAAGATCAACACCCCACCCGTGGTGGGACCAGATACTGCTTAGACCCCAGCTTAGATGGGGATAAGGTGTGCATCAGGCCAGGACCTCCTCTGAAGAGCTCACAGCTGAAATAGAGGCCTCGAGGGGAAGGGACTAGGCAGAGCTGGGGATAGAACCCAGGAGTCCTGGCTCCTACCACCACCCCTATGGTCTGGGCCAGCTGTGGGGCTTTTGGGGTAGGTTGGCCAAGATACCTCACTCACCTACTCCGGTCCCCCACAGAGCTGGCTGTACCTGAAGGGTTCGTACCTGCGCTGTGATCGGCACATGGAAGTGGCCTTCATGGTGTGTGCCATCAACCCTTCCATTGACCTGCACACCGATAGCTTGGAGTTGCTGCAGCTGCAGCAGGTGGGACGTGCCCCCTCCCCATGTGTGCATCTAGTCCTCTTCCCCCTGTGCACAGCCCCATGTCTGCTCCATCCCCAGGCCCATCAGCTTCCTCTCCCACCCCACAGGGCCTCTTCCAACTTGCTCCAACTTCCAACTGGAATGTGTCCAATCCAGGGTGTAGCTGCAGGTGGACCAGAGTCAGCCACGGCCCACCCACTGCCTTAGTATCCAGGCCTACCCACCCCCAGTCCTGGCTCGGGTCCCAAAAGGGAGGCTTTTCCCTCACTGCCTGGTGCTCCAGCTGGGCCTGGAGAATGGAGTTGGTGGTTAGCCCTGCTCTGCTTGCCCAACATTCCTGCCAGGGAGTGGAATTGAGGGCTTATAAGCCCCTGATCCTGTTAGGCAGCTGGAGTACCAGAGCCGGGACAAGCCCTGGTGCTCTAACATGCTCTCCGCCAGGAGCAGGGGCCAGCCAACGTGGGACAAGCCCCATTCCAAACTCTGCATCTGGGTGGGCAGAGAAGGGCATGCCCAGACCCTGCTCACCACTGGGAGGATCAGCCAGAATGGGATGGATCTCCATGTCCTGACCTCACTCAGAGCTCCAAGAGTGGGAGCAGAGCAGGGCAAGCTCCCATACTCCGATCCTGCTCCCCACTGGGAGCACTGGGCAGCGTAGCAAGGCAGGCCCCAATCCCTCTCTCCAGCAGAAGCACTCCCTGGGGAATCCCTGAGTGGAGCCCCTGGCCAGTGTAGCTATCCCTTCCTCCCCCCCTCCCCCCCCCCATGGCCTTCTGGAGGGAGAGAGGTGGACCCATCATTGCCTGCTCACCTTAAGTCAGGGCCTACCTCCTTGTCTTATTCTGGCTATGCCACTGCTCCAGTCCCTTCTGCACCCCTCCATGTTCATCCATTTGTCTGTTCCTCTGCTGTGCACACCTCTCCCTTCCACTGGGAAATTATCCGCAGGGGGCATGGGGCTTACCCTCCTGTTCCTGCCCCCCCATGACTCTGTGTCCTCAGCAAGCCACCTTTCCCATTTCCTTGCAGCGCCTCCTGTGGGTTCTCTACGACATGGGGCACCTGGAGAGGTCAGTATGGCTGGTGTTTGAAGCCACAGTTTGGGGAGGGGAGTCGGGGGCTGGGAGTCTGGACTCCCGGGTTCTATCCCAGTTCTGGGAGACGGGGCAGCTTTGGACTTCAGCTGTCACCCCTGAATCCCTCTGTTTCTCCATTGTCAGGGGGATAATTAGGCTGGGCCAGTGAGGCGGTTTTATTTTGATAGTTCTGAGAGCTAAGCTTGATGTTGATTTTTTTTTAAGCATTTTTCCTGGTTTTATTGGTTTTTAAACATCACTGTTCGGGGGACATTCTCGGGGGTCAGATGGTTATTTAGTGAGAGGAGATGTTGTGATGGCCAAAGTCAGCAGCTTTGTACTTGTTACCTGGTTCTGTCCGGTGTCGGAGGCTCCAAGGGAAACACCCTTCAGGCGGGCGTGCTTTGCTGACTTGTCTGGTCTGTAAATGTTAGTTAATAGCAAGGGAAGTGGTTCTCATTGCTTTGTGTGCTATGAAATCAGCCTTCAACATTAGGAGTCCCTCTAGCCATAGGGCTGGTGACCCTGCCCTTCGTAGAGCACTGGGAGGGAGGCAGGAGTGGTGATGGAGGTGTTCTTTAGTAGAGCTCAGCAACCCGACCTGAGCTCGATGGGGCCCACTCAGGACCAGGTTGGCTCCCTCCTCATGCCATGGGGCTGGCTGTACTCACTTCCTGCTAGTCACTGTGCTATATGTGCCAAAGGGTTGGGGTGCAGTGCTTGTGGCATAGAAGGGGACAGTATTGGAAGGAGTCAGTGCATGGGTCTTATCCAGCACCCCTTGAAATCACTGGGCCTTTTGCCTTCTGCTGCCTTGTGGTGCACCGCCCCTAAGTGCCAGGCATTGCAGTGCTGCCACAGTGCTGGCTGTCAGAGTCAGGATAGAAGGTCTCTTTCCCCAATTCCAGCTGCCTGTTTTCCCGGGGTAACACTCCTGTCCACTCTGCTGCTCTGGCAGGTACCCGATGGCGCTGGGTAACTTGGCTGACTTGGAGGAGCTGGAGCCGACACCAGGCAGACCAGACCCCCTCTCCATCTACCATAAGGTGACAGAGTACAAGACTGGAATTGCTGGGGCTGTGAGTTGGAATTGAGGGACACTAGCAGAGCTGTGGGGGGAAACCCAGAGCTGGGATGGCAGGGAGGGACTGTGGACCAGGCTTGAGGGGCATTGGTAGAGTTGGGTGGAGCTGGGATCCCAAGGGATTTATGGCTGGGATGTAATATGTGAAAGGTAAATGTTCTGATACTTTGGTGGGAACGGCCTTTTATTCTCTCCCTCCTCCCCCTGCAGGGCATCAGCTCAGCCAGAAAGTACTACAACAATGAGCACATCTACCCTTACATGTACCTGGCCGGCTACCACTGTCGCAACAAAAATGTCAAGGAGGCGCTGGAGGCCTGGGCTGATACAGCCACTGTCATCCAGGAGTGAGTGCCTGGGGAGGCCCCCTACGGCCCCCAAACCTTCCCTTTGCTAGGGCCCGGCTGGCCACTAGCCCGGGCAACTGCTGGCCTAAAAATGAGGCTGCAGCTATTCATGTCTGGGAGGGAGATGTGGGACTTTCCCCTCTGAGGCGCTGGCTCTGATCTTGCCCCATACCTGGGAACTGGCTGGCACTGGGGAAGTGAGAAACAAGGGACGGCTTAAGCCTGGGAGAATGGGACATGGGGCCTTTCCCCTCTAGAGGGTGCTGGCCCCAGCTGCTAACTTCCTGGTCCTGTCCTGTCCTCTCCCAGCTATAACTACTGCCGGGAGGATGAGGAGATCTATAAAGAATTCTTTGATGTGGCCAACGATGTGGTTCCCAACCTGCTCAAGGAGGTGGCCAACCTGGCAGAGCCACCTGAGGAAAAGGGTCCTGGGGAGAGAGGAGAGGTGAGGCGGGTACTGGGCTAGGCCCTTGGGGCTGAGCACCAGTGAGGGCCGGAGGGGCCAGGGCGGGGGGATGCCACACTGGAGGGACCAGGGGGTTGGACCGGGGGGGGGGGAATGCCAGGCTGGAGGGACTGGGGAGATGTGGGGGGATGCTGGGCTGGCATGCTGGGTCCCTGGAAGACACTAACTCTCTCCCTATTCAGGGGTCCCCAGTGCAGGCTGGAGGTTCGGCCCTGCAGGACCCCGAGTGCTTTGCACACCTGCTGCGCTTCTATGATGGCATCTGCAAGTGGGAAGAAGGCAGCCCCACACCTGTGCTGCATGTGGGCTGGGCCACGTTCCTAGTGCAGTCCCTGGGGCGCTTTGATGGACAGGTGAGGGGTGATGGGGGCAGGGCTAGGCCTGGGAGCAGTTGTGAACCCGGGTTGGGATTGTGGGGGTTTTGTGCTGGGTTTTGGAGGGTTGGGAGACCCTGCCAGATTTGAGGGCTCATGTCTGGGGGTCCCTGCTGGATTTGGGAACTCAGGACTGGATGTGTCAGCAGGGCAGGGGCCTTAGGGTTGGGCTCTGGGGAGACTGGGGTGTGGCAGTAGCTATAGGGTGCAGGTCCCACCACTGACTCCCTCCCCTTCCAGGTGCGCCAGAAGGTGACTATTGTGGCACGAGAGGCGGAGGCCAATGAGGATGATGAGCAGGGCAGCGAGGATCCCCGTGAAGGGCGCCGGCGTGGACCCCGCGAATATGGTGGCAGGAGAGCAGGAGGCCAATGAGGATGATGAGCAGGGCAGCGAGGATCCCCGTGAAGGGCGCCGGCGTGGACCCCGCCGCGAGTCCAAGCCTGAGGAGCCCCCCCTGCCCAAAAAGGCCCCTGAGCGGCGGCGCCCCAGCCCAGGCCAGCGACCAGACAAGCCCCCTGCAGGAGAGAAGGAGGAGGGGGGAGCCCCAGCCCCAGGGGCACCCCCTGCACCCCCACCTGAGGGCCCTGTCCTCACTTTTCAGAGTGAAAAGATGAAGGGTATGAAGGAGCTGCTTGTGGCTGCCAAGATCAACTCGAGCGCTATCAAGCTGCAGCTCACGGCCCAGTCCCAGGTGCAGATGAAGAAGCAGAAGGTGTCAGCTCCAAGAGACTATACCCTGGCCTTCCTCAAACGCCCCCGCAAGTCCCTCTGAGTCTCACAGGGGCACTGAGCCACAGAGCTGTCCCCTGCCAGTTTCTGAAGGGCTGCACCTCAGGTGGGGGAGGAATTGTTGCCTTTACTTGAGAGACGGGGGTAGTGCTTCCCCATCCTCAAGTGCAGGCCTCACCCCTGTTGGAGGGGAGAGGGGGCTCTGTGGGGTGGATGCTGAGATGGGGGAGCAGCTCTAATATTCCCCCCCTTTTGTATTCCAGAGACAGGAGCTGTTGTGGCCTCAGCTCCCCCCTCCCCCCCCCCGAGCTGTGGAGTTCAGAGGTGATGAGTTCTGTGCATTCTCCACGTCTCTGAGGGACCTGTAGGAGTTAGGTGGAGGAGCCCTTTGAGCCAGTTTATGGGGGTTCCCTCTACCCTGCACCTCTTCTGCTGGCGGGATACAGTATCACCTGGGTGCAGTATCACCAAAATACCCACCCCGAGACAGCCTGTGTCCTGCCCGTGGGCCAGATGGGAGCCCATGCCTCCCTGGAGGACAAGGAAGTTGTATCCCTTTTTGTGTCCTGAGCCAGTGCTGGGTGTGGGTGGGAAGAAGGGTTAGCAGCTGACTTTGATTTTTCCCAAAGTTGGCTGCTGCATCCTTGTTAAGCAGGGACAGGGTCCTGAGCTTCAAAGGCATCTTCCAGCCCTACCCAAAGCCCTGGGTAGTTGCAACTGTTTGGGGTGGTGGGGGGTTTTGTACTTCCTCCCCCTGGAGTTTATCATGTGAACTTCTGCCAGTTGTGTTCTGTCCCCCTGTTCTCCTGGTCACGCTTCCTCTCCCTTCCGTGCAATCATGTTCTCAACAACAGCCTTTATGCTGAGAGCGCTAGACCTGCAGAAAGGGCAGGGTCGGATAGCAGGGGGAATGTTAGCACACCACAGCCATGGCGGAATAACAGAGAAAGCCAATGGGAATACTGGACAATTGTAAATCCTGCTAAACAAGCCCCAGCAGAGCCATGGCAAACGCATCTGGAAGGGGGGGGGAGCGCTACCTCTAAGGCACAGCTTAGGCAGAGAGCTATAGAGGTTGTGCAGACTGGCAGCCGAAGACCCCACTGTCTCAGGAGTTGCACTGAAGTGCCATGGGGGTCAGAGCAGGGTTGGGCGCCATTAGAAGGAGCGGGGAGGATGGAGCTGGGCTGGGACAGCTTTGGCAGCACTGAGATAAACAGCTCTGGGGGGGTCATGTCTACTACATGTGTATTTTTAGTTGCATGAAGGGTTAATAAAAATGGTTTTAAAATAACCTGCCCCTACTGGCTGGTTTGGTTATTGCAGATGCTGGCTCCCTCCTGGGAGCTGGCTGTGGGGAGAGTTACTGGCTACTCCAGCCCTGGCCTTTCCCAGCAGAGGTGCTGTGGGGGGGGGAAGGTGAGCTCCCATGTACCCCGGGTCTGGCCTTTCCCAGCAGGGGTCACTGTGGGAAGCGGGGCAAATGGCCCCTGCAAGGAGCCCCCTCCCTTCTTCCTCACCTCAGCCCCCTGCCAGTCTCACAGCCCTCAAGCCTAGCCAAGCTGGTTTCCCTGCTGCCTTTGCTGAGGGCTTGGCTGGTGCAGGGCCTGAGTGTGCTTCTAGCCTGCGGGGCTCCCTGCGGTGCCCAGGAGGGGGCTGGGAGAAAGGCCTCTGGAGCAGCTCTGGGCAGGCTCTGCGGCAGGGGCTCTGCTCTGGCTGTCACAAGCCATCAGTGCTGTGTGCAGGCAAAGCGAATGTGGTATTGCCCCCGGTGGGGAAGGGGGGGCGTTGGGAGGAGCCTACTGCTCAGCTCAGAGCAGGGGGGGGGGGGGGAGGGGAGGGGAGGGGGTTGTAGGCAGGCTCTGATGCCACGAGCCTATGTGTGTGGGGGGGTGACCGTATGCTGGATTTATCCCAGTGCAAAACATTGGGGGGGGGGTCTCAGATCTGGGTCCGGACTCCCCGCCTCCCCTCCGCCCCCCCAGGCCGTCCCCGAGCTGGTTCAGAGCCGATGGGGGTAGCCGTGCTCTTTGCAGGCAGCGGAGCGGGAGGGGGGGCAGAGTGTGGCCTTGCCCCGGCCGCTCTCCCCTCCCCCTATGGGGGTGTGCCCCCCGCCTGCCCCGCCCCCATCCCATAAGCAGGGCCCTGTCCCCTCCCCTCTGCGGGAGGATGACCCCCTCCGTTGTCCCCGCCCCCGGCGGGCAGGGCTAGCTCCGCTTCCCGCCCCGCTAGTTCGCGGCCGGCCGGGCCGCGCCGTACGGTACCTGCTGTTCTGCGGCTCCCCGGGGACCATGAGCCTCTTGCGGGACGTCTCCCTGCAGGACCCCCGGCTCCGCTATGAGCTGATCCAGCGCATCGGGGCGGGCACCTACGGGGATGTTTACAAGGTGAGGGGGCGCCTGCCGGGGGGTGCAAGGACTGAAGATTGACGCGGGGGGGCGCACGGACAGCTCGGCGAGGGGCTGCTAAAGACCCCGAGGTGTGCGGGAGGTGGCAGGTAGCGGGGGTTTGGGGTGCGGGGCGGGCAGAGATGCTGGAATAATGAATCTGTGTAGTGGGGCTGAGAGCCATTGAACCAAACTGTAAACCTGTGTATGATGGAAACCACTTCAATCCCGGGGGTGCAGCAGCATCCTGCGCACCCCTATAGTGCAGGGCAGGGCAGGGAGCTGGGGTGAGTGCAGGGGGTTTGACAGTGTAGACAGGACTGGGGAGGGGGTATGGGAAGCAGAGGGGCAGATGGGGCAGTCGTGGGGGGCATGGTGGCAAGCAGAGGGGGAGCAGGGCAGGTGTGGGGTGCATGATGGAGAGCTGCGGTGGACGTGGGGGTGTGATTGGGAGCAGAGGGGGAGCTGGGGCAACTGTCCCATGGAGCGAAGGAGCAGTGTATGTTGGGATGGAAAGCCAAGGTGCATGGGAGGCACATGATGAGAGCCTCTTGGGATTATGTGGGCTTGATGTAGGCGGGGCTGGGGATCCTGGGATGGGGGGCACGGCCCAGAGACCTGCGGTAGGGAACATGTAGGGTGCCTGGGTGGTGGGGAGAGGGTTCTGGAGAATGAATGAGGAGGTGCCCAGGGCATTCTGAGGAAGGGGCTGATGTTCGTGTCTGAGCAGCGCATGCTGTATGTGGGGGATGGTTACAGGCAGGGTGGTGGTGAAGAGAAGTTGTGAATGAGCAGAAATGTGGGGGAGCCCCTTTGGGGCACTGTCAGAAACTCAGGCCTCTGAAACTGGCAAGTGATTGCCAGAACAGGAAGGTGTGAGGGAATGGAAGGGGAACTGCTAAGATAAGGAGCACCTCCCTGGAGAGGGTGTCCAGTGCATTGAGTGACCTGTCATGGGTTTGAGCTGGACCCCTGGGTTCTAGCCCTAGCTCTGGGTGGGGAGTGGTTGTGATCCTGCCTGTGGTGCTGACTTAAACTTGCCTACGTTTGGGGAATATCCCTAATTCAGCACCTGTGCAGCTAGCTCCAACTCTGGGCAGCGCCAAGCACAGTTGGCATTTTCATCAGCTATTTAGAATGTGTGTCCTGAGGCCCCTTTGCTCCTGGCTCTGGCACCCAAAGTATCATGACTGCAGCTGGCCAGATCTGAACCCCTTTCAGGTCCCTTGGGGAGTCAAATGCTTGGCTTGCCCTTTCGAGGCATGAGGACGGCCAGAGCCATTTCTATTCTTTATGTGCCATCATTGTATTGACACAGAGGTGCCCTGTGTGGAGTGAACAGGCCCTGTGCCCCTTACCCAGTGTTCCCTGTAAGCTGAACGCTTGGAAGGCCAACCTGGAGAGATTCAGGTGCTGTCCAGTTTATTAGCAGAGTACCCGCAGTGCCCGCAGCCAGCAGCATGTTTCTACTGGTGGTGCACATCCATGCATGCCTCAGTGCACATAAAATTTATTTTGCACACGTATGGAAAAAATTAGAGGGAACACTACTCTTGCTTGCTGGATAGCAACCAACCTGGGCCACAGGTTCTTAACCCCAGCACTCAGCTGTGCCCATGGGGATGGTTCCAGGGCTGATCTGCCAGGGTCAGGAGAAATCTCAGGAATGAATGAGCAGGGCGGGAGTCAGCCACTCCATGTTCAGCCTCAGAAATTATTTTTCTTTGATGAGGTAGAGGGGGGCCACAGCTGGGCATGGGAAAGGGGGAAAGGAGCACACACGGCCTCTAGTATGGGGGGCACAGCAGGGAGTGCTGCAGGGAAAGTGGCATGAGAGGGAGAGTTGCAGGGAATCTCTATGAAAGAGAGGCTGGGACTTTGGTCGCAGGGAACTGTGGATCTGGAGGAAGGCAGGAGCCAGGGTGGGCAATGCACTGGGCCTACAATTATTTGAAGCCTATGCCCCCTTGTGTTCTCTGGTTTGAGAGCCACGGGTGCCTAGGACCAGGATGCAGCCCAGCATCCTTACACAATCTGGGTGCAGACTCCCACCCACAATGCCTGCCCCAGCCCAGGTCTATGGGGCACAGCTTTGTAAGAGAGACCTCCGGACAGGGTCAATAGAGGCCAAGAGCTGGTGAGTTCATGGCACAGTAGCACATGCAGCTGGGGGCTAAGACCCCTGGATTCTGCTGGGGCCTCCTAGATTAGATCAGTGATTCTCAAGCAGGATGTATATACCATGGGCGTCCACTGAGGTCGTCTTGGGGCCACATCAACTCCTCTAGATATTTGCCTACTTTTACAACAGACTACAAAAAACCACTGGGAGGTCAGTACAAACAAAGCTTTCATACAAGGACTGTGTTATGCTGCTCTGCATACTGTACGCTGAAAGGTCAGTACAGTATTTATATTCCAGTAGATTATTTGTATAATTATATGGTAAAAGCCATGACAGTCAGCAGTTTCTCAGTATCCACATGCTGGGGCACATTTGTATTTTTGTCTGATTTTGTAAGCAAATAGTTGTTAAATGAGGTGAAACTTGGGGCTATGCAAGACAAATCAGTCTGGGAGGCTGGAGAGCCACTGGATTAGAGGGGTTGGGAGCCATGACTCCTGGGTTCTATTCCAGACTTTGCCAATTGACTTGGGCACGTCTCTTGGATGCCTCTGTTTTACTTTCCGTTCTGTGTCTAATTAAACCGTGAGCCCTTTGCGGCAGGAACTGGTGCTCACTCTGTCTGTGCAGTGCCTGGCCCGGTCCTAGTCAGGGGCTCTGTGCAAGGCATAGATAGGTAGATCTTAGGAGTTTATTAAAGTCTCCAGGTTGCTGAAGTAAGGGTTGAAGGTGGAGTTGCTGGGAGTCAGGACACTTGGGTTCTCTCCCTAGCTCTGGGTTGAGAGGTTAGGGAGAGGTGGGGGAAGGGCCTGGGTGTCAGAATTCCTGAGTCCTATCCCAACAATGGAAGGGGGAGTGGTGCCTAGGAATTAGAGCATTTCCCTTTCCAAGGCTTCTTATAGAGCTGAAATCATGAATTCCTTCCCCTCCCCCCATGCTTTAGGCAGCTGCAGAGCTCAGAGTGATAGAACAAGCCAGAAGCAAGGGGAGGGTAAAAAGGAAATGGCTTAATGTCAGGGTGGAGATGGCGTATGTGCTTGTGGCATGGCTTTGCTTCTGTCTTTGTTCTGGGGTGGGCACCCAGCCCCATCATGCCTGCACCTGAGGGCGCAGGCACCAGAGCTTCCCCCAGTCCTGGGTTGCTGGCACAGAGAATTTGCATTCTGTCTGCCTGGGCATCAGCACAAGGGCACTTTGCAACATGCCCTACCAGCCCCAGGGATGGGTGTTGCAGAGCGGAGCTGGGATGGGGAGCTATCTGTACTTTCCCCTGCTCCTCTCCTGTCTACAGCTAGGCCTCAGGAGGGAGTGGAGTCGGAGGCAGGAAGTGCTGGGTGCAGCAGCTGGCTGGGGGTCAGGACTGGAAACTCGGAACAAGGCTATTTTGGTGTCAGAAATCACAAATGGGAGTGGGGGCAGGACCCTGATATTGAAAGGAAAGGGAGAATTGGGCTTAGATGAGGGGTGGGCGGGTGAGGAGAGCTACCCTCTCCTCAATAGGGAGTGGAGTGCTGGGCTGGGTGAGATAGACCTTCGGGTTGGCTGGAGGAGAAATGGGGGCTTGGCTGGGGGGAACCCAAGCTCTGGGGTTCAGGGAGGGGTGCAAAATGAATTCCAGGCTCGTGAGCCTAAGGCTCAGAAATGGGCTTTTGGGAAACCTGTTGAGGGGGTGCATCACCCCAGGACCTTTTGGGGAGGGGGATTTTTCTGAAGTAGGAGTCTTGGGGCCAGCTCTGGGCCCTGAGGACTGAGGGGTGTGTTGTGGGGAGAAAACAGCCCTGGGGGATTATGTCTGCAGTTGGGGACACTGATGTGGGAAGAGCTGGCTCCTGACCCCATTCCCCAGTAGGTGCATAACCGGCAAATGCTAAGGCCCCTGCAAACGATGGCCCCTTCCATGTCTTTAGGCCCAGAACACCCAGACAGCAGAGTTGGCTGCCATAAAGATCATCAAACTGGACCCAGGTAAAGACCAGAACCTCCCCCCTGGAATCACTCCTCCAGTGCCTTCTCCCCACACCCCTAGTGCTCACCTGGAACCACTGGTCTGTGTCTATAAATGACCCCTGCATTGCCCCAGTCTGCCCACAATTGCATGCACCTGGTGCACCCCGAATTTCCCTCGGAATTATGCCCCACCCCCATCACAGTGCTTACCTTTGGGACAATCTGCGATCACCAGACCAGACTTTCCTTTAGTTTGGCTAGGCCCTGGCACCGCCTGGACTCCCTGTAGCAGGGGTTCTGTGGGTGAATGGGAAGCATTGTAGCCAGCTTGTGGGATGACTCTGGGGACCCAGCTATGTCCCTGACACAGCCCCATTGGGATGATGCCATAGGGGTCCCCTAGGCTTCCCTATCCCCCATCTCTCCCTGACATACCCTCAGACTTGAGTACCAGGTTGCTTTATGGCTCTCCACCAACAGTTGGTGACCTCCCTGTCATCTAAAGCAGAGTCAACAAAACATCTCTCTGTCTTGTTTTAAGTTTTGTGCTGCAGGGAGCAGGGTGGGAGCACTCTGCCCATACAGTCATTGCATCCCTCAGTGCCAGGCTTGGAACAACTCATCTCAGAAAATTCCTTCAGCATCCCTCAGGTTTCCCCCTTACATGATTTTCTTTCATTTCTTGTGCAAAACTCAGTACCAACAGCCCCACCCATGAGGTGACTGCATCTCAGTGCTGTAGTGACAGCCCTTCCCTTTGTTCCTTCAGGAATGACCGTCTCTGGATCTGCATGGAGTTCTGTGAAGGAGGCTCTCTACAGGAAATCTACCACAGTGAGTCTCTGATGTAACTAGAAGCAGGGAGGGAGGGAGGGTAGGTGGTCGCTGAGAGGCAGGATTCTTGGGTTCTTTTCCCCACTCCTCTTCCACAGCCAGAATCAGAAACCAGAACTCCTGACTCCCAAACCTCCTGCTCTCACCCACAAGATCCCACCTTGCTCCCAGAGCTGGGGATTGGACCCAGGAGTCCTGGCTTCCATGTGCTCTGCCACAGGGGCACAGAATGTTCTCTCATCAGGATGTTGTAAAAAGATGTTGTCTGTTTCACTTTCTGGTTGGTTTCCCTTCCTGTTTGCAAAATATCTCTGGTTCCTGGTCCTGTGGGGGTTGGGTGGATAGGAGGAAGTGGGTGTTGGAAGGGGGGTGAATAGGAGGAAATGGGGTGGGGGGAAGGCCGGGGGGATGGATAGGAGGAAGTGAGGACAGTGTTAGAACATGGGGGATGTGATGACACAGAAGCCAGATATGTTGCATTGTGTGCGGAGGCATTTGGGAGGCTTTGGGAGAGGAGTAATTTGGGTGTCTGTAGCTGGGCACAGGAAGGGGTTGGGAGCAATGGTCCTACTCATCTTTTCCATCCATGTGCAGAATACATTTTATGTGCACTGAGGCATGTACTAAGCACCCCAATAGAAACAAAACTGAGCTGTGGGTGCTGTGCTAATCAGCTGGGCGGCATTGGAATCTCTCCTGAGCAGCTGCACAAGTGCACAGCTTATAGGGAACACTGGTGGGGAGGTGTATTTGGAGAGTGGTTGGATGGTGGTAGGAGAATAGTGGAACCCCCCTCCCCCTCCAGTTATGCATTTGTCCACATCTGCCCATTTCTTGCAGCCACCGGCCCCCTCTCTGAGAAGCAGATTGCCTACGTATGCAGAGAAACACTGCAGGTGAATAAACAGGGAGCTGATGGGGGGGCTCAAAGCCGCTGCTGGGCACCCCTCCACTTAGCGAGCGCCTGACTGACACCTGGACTGTATCGCCAGATCTGGGAGAGGAATGGTGTTTGAGGGTTGCAGAGGGAGGTGGGCTAGGAGCCCGGACACCTGGTTTCTCTGCTGGGGCCCAGGCCAGGCAGGAAGTCCTTGTTTCATGGTCTATTGCCCTGTAGCTTCCTCTGTCCCTGGAGGCAGGAAGAGCTGTGTGAATTACAGCAAGGCACTAGCCTGGTTGCCATGGAGAGGGGACAGAGGGGACTGAGAGCCCCACCCCGAGTAGATCAGCAATCTCCCCAGGGTCTGGCAGATCAGTACTGAAAGGGTGGTAACATGTGGATGGGGGGGATGCTCAGAAGGTCACTGCTCCTCTTTCAGGGCCTGAATCACCTACATGCCAAGGGCAAGATGCACCGGGACATAAAGGTGAGACTCAGGGACCTCCCCCTCAGATCAGATCCCAGGGCCCACCCTGTCCCACATCCTCCTTCACCCCTTGGACCAGAACCTGGGGCCCACCCCACCCCAGATCCCACCTCACACCTTGGACCAGGCTCCAGAGCCCATCATACCCCAGATTCCCTGCTAATCAGACCCTGGTCCTGGTCCTGCCCCAGATGCCCCCTCCCCTTTTGGACCAAACCCCAGAGCCCATCCTGCCCCAGATCCCCCTTCAGCCCTCAGACCAGACCCTGGGGTCCACCCCTCTCCAGATTCTCCCCTGGACCCCTCAGACCAGATCCCAAGGCCCACCCTACCCCAGATCTCCTCTCCTCTCCTCTCGAATGAACTCTGTAGGTCCTTCCCACCCTGTGCCCCCGCAACACCCTTGATCAGAGCCATGAACCTGTGTTGGGGCACACCTTTGCTTACTAATCCCCTTTTCCCAATAGGACCCAGGCAGCTGACTCTGTTCGCCACCCACCCCGGGCCCTTCACTGTGGTAACATCCTGCAGCATGTTGTACCCAGGGTTAACAAGGGTAGAGGGAGAATCCCATTGGCTTTGGGGAGGGAAAAGATCAGAGTAGCATTCCCGTCCCTCCTTTGCCAGCCCTTTGGGTTTCTCCCCAGCTCAGGCTGCTTTGACAGGGGAGGTCACTCCAGTGGAGCAGTGGTTCTATCCTCACCCTCATTGACACTTTCCCCTTTCTGGTGCAGGGAGCCAATATCCTACTCACTCACTCTGGAGATGTGAAACTGGGTGAGTTACCTGCTCTTCTTCCTTCCTCATAGAAACCCCGGAATCTCTGAGAGTGGGAGTCCAGGGCTGGGATGGGGATGGGGTCATGACTGAGGGGCACCAGCAGAGCTGGGGAACAGGGAGGAAGCCCAGCGCTAAAATAGCAAGTGGCTGTGGATTAGGGTTAAGAGACTCCAGTGGGGATTAGGAATGTTAAATATTGACAAATTGACTAATTGAATAGTTGATGCATTTTGCATCGATTATTCAATAGGACGCCTCAGCCTTTGAAGTGTAGCAAGAGGGCTGTTGCTACACTTCAAAGGTGAAAGTGCCGCATGGAGCCCGGGTCAGCTGTGGACCCAGCTGAAACTTGGCTCCATGCAGCACTGCCACTTTGAAATGCCGTGAGGAGCCTGATGCCGGGCTCCCTGCAGTGTTTAAAAGCGGCAATGCCACATGGAGCCTGGGGTCCGCTGTTGAGTACGCATTTGCTTATTGGATAGTAATGGGGATGGGGAGAACTCAGGGCTGGATAGTAGGGGGATGTAGGTCACAGTTGAGGATCGTCAGCAGATGGTATGTGCCCATCTGTCTGCCCATCCATGGTAGTGACTGTGGACCTGTTGTGCCAGGTGCTGTATAGACCCATAGCTTGCATATGTGATCCCTTTCTCATAGCACTCCTAACAAGGGTTCCTGACTCTCCCTCTGTCTTGCAGCGGATTTCGGGGTCTCAGCTGAGCTGACAGCATCAGTGGCAAAGCGGAAGTCCTTCATTGGGACCCCCTACTGGTATCTTACCCCTTCCTCCACCCTGGTGCTTCATTCTGGTACCCACCAGGGGAACATGGTGGCAGGAGAGAGGAGTGGAGTTATCTCACAGTTGGGAACCCCCCCATCTGGGGCTGTCTTGGAGCCTGGGATGTCCCTGTGGGAGGGGGTTTGGTGGGTGAGAGGAGGGGCCAGACAGCAACTTGGTTTGGGGGATGGAGGAGGGTGTCAAGCCTGGAGGATATCGGGGGTACTTTGAGGTGCCCAGCATCTGGGGAACTTGGCTGGGAGACTGGTGAGCTGAGTTGGATGCCTGGATCCTGGGGGTGGCTGGTGTGTGTGTGGGGGGGATGTG